GACGAGCCAATAACAAGCATGTCAACAACACAGCAATTTTCTACAGACAAGTCGACTACACAACAATCAACTTCAAAAGAGTCGACAACAGAAGATTTAACAACAAAAGACGAGTTAACTACTATTACGTCAACTACAAAACAATCAACAACAGAGGACTCGACTACAGGAGACGGGTCAACCACAGGCGCGTCAACAACACAAGAATTGACTACAGGCGCATTAACTACACAACAATCTACATCTACGGAACAGTCAACAGAACAATCAACAACACGAGATCAGTCGACGACAATTCACTCAACTAAACAACAGTCAACTACAGTTGAGTCAACATCTATAGACGAGTCAACGACAAGCATGTCAACAACACAGCAATTTTCTACAGACAAGTCGACTACACAACAATCAACTTCAAAAGAGTCGACAACAGGAGATATAACAACAAATGAAGAGTTAACTACTATTCCATCAACTACAAAACAATCAACAACAGAGGACTCGACTACAGGAGACGGGTCAACCACAGGCGCGTCAACAACACAAGAATTGACTACAGGCGCATTAACTACACAACAATCTACATCAACGGAACAGTCAACAGAACAATCAACAACACCACATCAGTCGACGACAATTTCCTCAACTACACAACAGTCAACTACAGTTGAGTCAACATCTATAGACGAGTCAACGACAAGCATGTCAACAACACAGCAATTTTCTACAGACAAGTCGACTACACAACAATCAACTTCAAAAGAGTCGACAACGGAAGATTTAACAACAAAAGACGAGTTAACTACTCTAATTCCATCAACTACAAAACAATCAACAACAGAGGACTCGACTACAGGAGACGGGTCAACCACAGATGCGTCAACAACACAAGAATCAACTACAGGTGCAGCTACTACACAACAGTCTACGTCAACAGAACAGTCAACAGAACAATCAACAACAGCAGACCAATTGACGACGATTGCGTCAACTACAAAACAATTAACAACAAAGGATTCGACTACAGGAGACGGGTCAACCACAGGCGCGTCAACAACACAAGAATTGACTACAGGTGCATCAACTACACAACAGTCTACGTCAACAGAACAGTCAACAGAAAAATCAACAACACCAGATCAGTCAACAACAATTTCCTCAACTACACAACAGTCAACTACAGTTGAGTCAACATCTATAGACGAGCCAATAACAAGCATGTCAACAACACAGCAATTTTCTACAGAAAAGTCGACTACACAACAATCAACTTCAAAAGAGTCGACAACAGAATATTTAACAACAAAAGACGAGTTTACTACTATTCCATCAACTACAAAACAATCAACAACAAAGGACTCGACTACAGGAGACGGGTCAACCACAGGCACGTCAACAACACAAGAATTGACTACAGGCGCATTAACTACACATCAATCTACATCAACGGAACGGTCAACAGAACAATCAACAACACGAGATCAGTCGACGACAATTCACTCAACTACACAACAGTCAACTACATTTGATTCAACATCTATAGACGAGCCAATAACAAGCATGTCAACAACACAGCAATTTTCTACAGACAAGTCGACTACACAACAATCAACTTCAAAAGATTCGACAACAGGAGATTTAACAACAAATGAAGAGTTAACTACTATTCCATCAACTACAAAACAATC